CTTGCTTTTATAGAATTACATCGGCAAGGCTATAGAATCGTTGAATATTCAGGATGAACTTATATGTTAAAGTGGCTATCAAATCCTAAATATTACCGTATTAATGAATCTGGTAATGAAAGAATTGTTAGAAGATTAGAGTATGCACGTTATATGTGTAAAATGCATAGCAAATCATATCCATGCGATTCACTAAAAATCAACTATTTCAAAACTAAATATCTTTATACCCTAGGAGAAGAAATTAACATAGATTTCTCAGATTCGAACAATAATTGTGAGTATGTGCGCTGAATTTTCTGGATCATAAATTCTCCGCCGAAGCAGGCCGTTACATATTTATTATAATAATTTATTTTTTTATAGTTGTCCACCGTCGATGTGAAATAAAAATCCTGCCTTCTTATGATTAAATCACTCGAAGCCAGATATATCAGTAACTCAGATCTTTTTTTGAGCTTGCGAGAAAAAAGATATAATTAAGCGCTTTGGAAGTTTGTGAACAAACAAATCATCCCTCCTCAAAAATAAATTTTTTCAGAGTGAAAAGTTTTGTGAAATTTTATTCCCGCCTTCTCACGATTCCATCGCTTGAAGCCAGATATAATAGAAACCCGAATATATTTTTTTCGAATTTATGAGAAAAAAAAATTTATGAGAAAATAGGGGATCTACAATTTGACTAATTCTATTTATTAGGTGAGGTACTTTTTTCCTTGTACTTCTGCCTCGCCTCAATTTCCTTCTGCAAGTTCAATAGAGTATCAAACCTTAGTTGAATTGCGAGAGGATCATCCTCTGGTCTACTGAGATCAAATACAACAAACTCACCTTTACGGAGGTAGCTATTAATAACCATAGATGCGCCCTTTACATCATCAGTATATCGGCCAGCTATCTTGGAGACATCTTGATAACTGCTTCACCCATTATATAGTACTAAAAGGGAGATGTTTTCATGAATAATAATTGGTACATGTTAGTACTTTTGAGTAACATAGCATAGAGAAATATTTCAATGACGCCCATGTGTAAAAAATGGAATTATTCAATTTTGGATAGATTCAGGAGCAATACATACATCCTCAAAAATGATTATAGTGCTCCTCTCAGGTGAAAATGATTTTACGCTAGAGATTTTTTCAGGTGAAATATAACTGAACGTAATATTTTCATAATATGGCACTTTGGGATCACTTGCAATTAGTCCATACATATATCTAACAAATGTCCATTTAGGTTCATCCGGGTGGTATCCACAAACTATCAAATTATCACATCTAATATATCTGGATCCTCCCCTTTGTCTTTTATATATATATTCACATTTATCTTCAAGAACAAGGTTTGCTAGTAAATTGGTTTTACCTGTACCACTTCTTCCGCTGACTATCATGCTGAAAGGCCATGTCATTGCTGGATGTCCAACATTTCAGGATGATTCACGCTTTGTGGCCTCGTCCATATCCATAAGGTAGAGTTTCATAGGTGGTAGTTCTTTTTTTTGGTTCTTTTGTATGACAGATTGGGAATCCATAACTTTGATTTCTATCTAAGGGTATTTTATAATTCGGAATATTTTTTTCTTTATTAAGGAGTGAAATAAAAGAATATATATAAAAAGATATGCGCCATAGGAAGTATATGATTAGTAATATCATTATTATGATAAAGACCTTTTTCTGCTGAAAGAAGGAATTGGGTGATACTGAGCTTGTTTTAGGCCTAGTGATACCATTACCTTTCTCCAGTCCACTAATACCTCCAATCACCCTATTGGTCTCACTAGATGCTTTCGAAATCTGCTCTGCTAAACAAGCATTAGCTTCTTGAAGGAGGAAATCTTTCTCAGATAATGCTTTTTGTGCTGAAACTAAATCATCCTTTATCTGTGTCAATTCATCTCTTTCTCTAGACAGAGTTTTTTCTAAGTCCAATTTTGCTAAAAATAGGTTAGTATTTTCTAGTTCAGATTCATTCTTGATAGATTCCATTTCTGATAACTCATCCTGTACTAAAGAAAGATTCTGCTCTAATTCTTTTACTCTTAATCGGAGAGCCTGTATCTCTTCCAATTTTGCAGTGATCTCGCTTTTAGTACTTGTAAGAGAAATATCTTTGTGAGTAATCTGATTTTTGAGTTCTCTCGCCTCATTTTCAAGCTGGCATACATGCTCTGAAAAGCTCTCATTGTTTTTTATCAAGAGATTGTATCTAGTACCAAGCTGAATACCCGAGCTTAAAGCAATATCGAGATCACGCTTTGTACAAGTAAGTTGATTCTCAATTTCTGTTCGGCTGGGCAGATATCGATTAGATGGTGAATCCCCAAGTTTATTGCCAGATACTAGAGCTACCTCACCATTTATCTCATTTAGCGTATGCATATTTGCCATATAAATTTACCCCTTTGTTCTCATAAATTTGAAAAAAGAAATTTTAGTAATTAATTAAAGTTCATCTACTTTCTGCTCTTTTTTCGTTCTGTCATTTCACCTATTTTCTCATAAATTCGAAAATAGAAAAAAAAAGAAATTAGAAAAAATGTTTTTTTCCTTCGAATATGGAGAAAGAGAATCAGAATCAAATCGATATCAAACAAATAATAAACCAGTTTGAGACAAATATGATATTTAAACTATATATATCTCAAACCTATTTTTATTTGGATTATGGTTATAGCAAGCTACGTGATAAAGGAAGCGAATTTCCTATATATATCAATCTAATATCAGACCAATATCAGACCAATTCCAAATAGATTGCGAATAAATTTTTTACAAGTTTTTTATTGGTATTATACAAATTTATTATTAACAAATTATGAGTAAAAAACTATTAACCCGTACTCATAAATTTCTTAGATCAGATACTACCCGCTTGTTACTCGAATCCATTGAAGAAATCAGAAATGCTCAGAATAATATTCCAGATGCTCGGCATATTATGTGTAAAAAACATTATACTGTATAGAGGCAACAACATATCAAAAAATCATTGATAATTAGAGGCCCCCTAAACCAACTGAGGAATGGTGTAGAATCATAGAATCTGTTAGCATCTCTGATCAGATTTCAGAAAATATAGAGCACCCTCGAGATGGCGCAAATTCTCATATAAGGCTGAATACAGTAACCAGCAAACAAAAAGATAAGGTTAGTCAGAAAAAAAAGATTAGTATGGAGGCAGAAGGTGAATTTTCTTTGGTGAAAAAAAATAGAATAGTCAATTCTTTTAAAAATGATACATCTAGACAGGAATCTGATCTTAATAAATTATTAAATATTACTGGAAACATTGTTACGTATCCGATCTTTTCTCCATAAGCTTAGAGCACCTTTCCACTAAAATTTTACTTGCATTTAATGCCAAGTCAAGCTATTTCTCAGTTTTCAAGAGGCGCTTTTCAAGATTTTTGCATTTTTTTTAAAGTCCTCACTAGTTGGGTTAGAAGAATTAGCAAAAACCTGAGATGATGATTCCTGCTCCTCTTTTGGCGGATCTTTAGCTACTGGGGCCTTGCTATAAGTTGGAATAACATAGGTCTTTCTGTATAACTTTATGCGGAACTGGTTTTTATTTAGCTCAGGAACACCTTGGAGCTTTCGAATATTTGACATGCTTAAAAATAGCATTGGTTCAGGTTCACCGATACGAAAAATGAATCGGAATGTATACGTAATCGTGGTACGTAATCGTGGTTATTCGAGGACCTGT